ATTGATTAAATGAAAACTCTAATTATCCATAAAAAAAAAAAAGTAATTAGAAAATATTTCATCGAATTACATGAATTCATTTGCAATAACTGCATTTACTTGTTGTTTTAATTACTTCATTAATGAAATAAACATTAAACCTACTAGATAACTGTTTCAAGGAAAACTTCTCTTATGAAACAAAGGTCTATGTTCAAGACAATACTCATCCGGCTCAATATTTGTGCTGCTGCTGCACATGAATCATTATCTTTTGTCGAAACTATTTTAACTGTTTAATATAAACCTACTTGAATATCTTCACAAAGATTAGCAATACTGCATGCAAGTTAATTTACAGTCTTCGCTTCGACGAAGCTAAAATTAGGCATTTGATGAAAATCGATGAAATCGCAATGGTTCAAATTTATATAATCACGATAAACAATAAAAGTCATACTTAATACACTATCTTTTATGAGTTACTATAGTCCAAACAATTAAAAGTACCTCTTAAAATTTGATTTTTAAAATTTTTTAAAATTTCATGATGTGTTCTCTTGTTTTTTATATAGTACAGACTGATATGAATGAGTCATATATTTATCATTATAATGCTCTATTAGTCATCTACCTATACGGTATATCTTAGGCTTTTATCGTTTGGTATGTGTGTATAGAGTTCACTTGTTGATATAGTGGCTGTGGTTTCTATACCAACAAGTGAGCTCCATCTGTCATAATACAAGAAAGGAAGCATAATATAAAAAGTTATCCGGGAATATGTTAGTACATGGTGTCCTGTATACGTACCACATCATAAATATGTTAAACAAATATTAAATGTACAAATGAAAATCAAACTTGTAATTGTATGTGAAAATGACTACACTTGAAATTATATATACACATGTAACAAAACAAACTTTTCCCAAAGGCTTATCCGTCGGAGTCAGCCGCTAGGGTCCACATGCAGCTGGATTCTTTCGTCTTTTTCTTTTTACAGACGGCGGTATCTGCACCCCTTCTGTCTAACATATTTACTAAGGATGTAATCAACATGCTAACGAATGAGTCATTCGAGACAATTAGCCGTTAGTGACTTGTCTAGAGTCATTCCATGGATGGTGATACTGAGGTGTGAACACAGTACCTTGTGGATACGTGTCGAACAGCGTAACCACTCAACCATGACAGTTATATATACACATATATATATATCAAACGATAAAAACCTAAGATATACAGTATAGATAGAGGAATACTTGAGCATTATAATGATAAATATATGACTCATTCATATCAATCTATACTATATAAAAAACAAGAGAACACATCATCATCAAAATTAAAAAATTTTAGAAAAAAAATCAAATTTTAAGACATACTTTTAATTGTTCCGGCTATAGTAGAAATTAATCATCATTATCACATTTTTGAAAATAAATGCAAGGTAACAAAAGCATTTTAAAAAATTAATTTGTTATCCTTGTCATTATTACGGTATCGAATGGTGTAACAAACATAAAGGCAATAATAGATAACATCATCAATCGTGATGTATCTTACGAAAGATAACAATCTGATATATAAAGATAAATCCTTCGATTGACATGTGATATATTAATACTTCACCTTCATTTTAAGTAACAATAGAAAGACTGTATAAAAAAAACCTTCTTTTGTATTTTTACTCAAAATCGATTTTTTGATGTAATGATCGAACAGAAGACAAATTTTTTCTCAACATGGTTTATTCCACTTAGAGAGCTATGTTTTGTTTAAGGATTGATAGATATATGCAGAGTTCTTCAGATCAGAGAAATGAATGTTTTAAATAATCATCAGTGCTAGATAAATCTTGAGCATTTTTTCAGACTTTTGAAGTTTCGATTATTTGAAAAATAAAATAGAGTAAAAGTAAAAAAAACTTCTTTCTTTCATCCGAAATAATAATGAATTCTCCTTTAAATCAAAATAAACCGAGCTGTGGAACTTGACATATATTGATAAAACATTTTGCAGGCGTAAAAATCCTGTTTTACAGTTTGATCCCTGGAAATCTCTTGGTGGTAAGGTATGGAGACGTGAATTTGTTTTATTAATGTATTTTCATGAGCCGAACATCGATGCAAAGTTTCATCAACATCTCATATACCTTGTCGAAGTTAGGTTTCCCAAAGGGACATTCCTATAATCGATAATGCGTTTTATATTTTGTGTAATAAAATCAAAATGTGTTTGTATTTCTTCATTCCATATTTCATCACTTCATGAATAAATTTTATTATCATTAGCATCATAAGCAAATACACTTTATCTTCATGAAATAATCAATCTTTCGATGGTTTTCCATCACATTCTTCATTTTAATCAATTCATAATAATATCAATACAGTAAAATGGAGTTTTGTCAGATTATTTAGTCATTAAATGATAAATAGATACGATTTTATTTCAAATCAATAATAATACCAATAACAGCAATTAAATGCTATTCTCTATAAGTAATCACACTATGTATCAAAACATGATGTCCATTATAATCATTGTTTACAACAACAATAAATATTGGACTATGATTATTGTTATGTGTTGATTGTTGTTGTTGCAATAATTTTAAAGAAAAAGAAATTGCATTATTCAATAAAGTTGTTTAACCATTGATATTGAATGCATTTAAAAGATGATGTATGAATAAATGATCATAATTTTCTTTGTAATTTTTATCAATTAAATATGTTTTCGAAATCTTAAATCATTATAATCTACAAAACTAAGTTTATTCAATGACACACAAATTGAAATTAAAAAAAAATCATTAGATGAGAAATAAATTCGATTTATCATTGATAGTAGAGATGTGCAGAATTACCATACCCAGCTTTGCAGGATATGAAAAGGGTTAGGAAATTTTTCTTTGTCAGGATGCAGAGTATGACAAAAAATTTACACTACATATCTCTAGTTTCTGTATTATCAATGTTTTGTTATATAGTTCGGCATCAAATCTTATCGCTAGCAATTTACTCACCCTCAGATTTACACTCACAGCTAACAACCATACCGATTCTAGATCAAGCATAAAATATACTTGGAGAATGTATATAAAAGTACTTATCCAAAAATTGAAAAGAAATGCTTCATACAGAAGTAGATGTGAACACAAAATTTTCATAGCTAACCACATACATACAGTACATACCAATAGAATAGATATAGTTTGTGATATGAAATCTTTCCTGAAATTTTTGGACTTCTCCATCATAAAATGACAAGATTATTTTATAATTACTGTTTAATTAATTAACAAATTATCCAATTAAGTTCAATTAGATGTGACTCGAAAGAATTATTATTTTTTGCATATATTCACAGCAAAAGAACTTATTCAAAAATTAGTGTTTACTAAGGATCAAAGTCAAATCAAAGATGATCATATTTACTTTTTTGCTTGGTTTTATCGATATAGAGGAGAGAAAATTTGTTCTAGTTTTCTATAAATTACAATAGTGTCAATATCATTAATTTTGATATATTCTTTGTAATCACTAATTCAACATCAACTAAATAAGATTTTATGATATTGTAAAGTCCTTATTTGAAGATGTCTCGATGCCAGTTTAAGTCTCAAAAAATGATTTATTCTAGAAAGTGAAATAAAACCATTTAAAGACATGGAGTATAACTCACATAATGAAATGAAATCCGAAGGAAAAGAAATAAAAGATAGCTATCATTGGCGAGTTATCCAGGTATGACGCAGTCAACGAAAAACAAAACCAACGAGGTATATGAAAAACATCAATAAAACACCGTTGTATATTCTCTCAAACGTCCTTGTTATGTATTATAGAAGGGAGACATCTCAATAGAGAATATCTCCAATACTAATAAGATGAACAAATACTTGAGCATTTCCAATATAAAGAAAAACACGAAAAGTCAGATTAAAGTCGAATAGAATTTGATTAAAAATTGGTTAAAATCATATAGTTTTCATCCAATAATAATTGATATTAATAAAAAACAAAATAATCGAAAAGATCTTGATTATTTTGACAAATTTCAATTATAATCGGTAAAAAAACTATACAAAAAATATTTTTTGTCATCGATTTTAGTTTTACAATAAATGTTAGAATCTTTCAAAACCGTTTTCTTTGATTTACATGAATTATAATTGATGTTTTCCATCAATATTAAATCGATTATAAGTGAAATTAATTAGAATAAGAGATAGACTGAGGTGTTCTGCACCATCCTATCCTCTAAAGCACACCTATGCAGCATTTTGCAAATCTCCATGAAGCATATGTTGCGACATCTCATAGTTTTATTCATGTTGAAAAAGTATCGAGTAAACAATTTCACATTTTCGAAACATGTACAATGAGCAAGAAAAAAAAGAGGCATGCTAAGGGCGCCAGCTTGAACATGAGCGCAGGGCAGATGGTACAGTTCCATTTAGCTCTGATCAGAAAAATCGATAAAGTTTTAGTTTTTTCAAATATTTTTTATTATGATCTATGAAAAACGTATAATTTTATTCGATTTTTATTCAAATTTTAGTCTATTCAAAACTGATTTTTTGTGTAGTTTTTTTGACGTGGATTCGCTACTATACAGTAAAGTTAAGAAAAGTATTATTTGTCTCAATTACTATGACAAACATCAATTATATACGTCATGATATCACGATCTATATATTTTTTGACAATGGCACAACACATCAATACATGGATTTTATCGACTACGAAGCAATATAACGAACCATTTATTTATAGCTTATAACGTAAATAACTTGCCAAATCATAATCCGTATGCATATGAAAAGAAAAAATAAATATCATTGTTCTGTTTCTTTTGCTATTCACTAGTAACGTGTTTATTGATGCAATATGAGCGTAAACAAATTTTCTCTCCATTCGTTCATACATACACTATTCATTTTTCGTTATTTTTTTCGTTCCCAAATGGCAGATGATATTGTCTACTTTAGATTTTAGAATTTTTTCAAGATGCAATCCAAACAAATAAATGAAAAAACACCAATGACACCGATGCAAATGTCACAATCGACAAGTAAACAAAATTACGTACCAAATAATAGTGTACAAAAAACAAGAACAACGCTTCTTATTCTTCTGGGAATTCATATGGTAGAAAAAGTTTATAAAAATAAAAAGAACTTCATAATTCTTATAGGTTTTGGCATTGTTCTATTTTATTGAACACATTGTTGATCTGGTTAAATATCATAATGTGCACAAGGCTATTTATTATTGTGACGCATCCGCTTCATGTATTAGCAATATCAGTTTTGGTAAAATTTTCTATTGAAATATTTGTTACGATTCTTTTTTTTTATATTTAATTCTAGGTGTTGTTTTGATAATTTATTTAACTGTTTACATTGTTGTTGTGTTTAAATGTTTTCGAATTGGCATTCTTATTGTATGTTTGATTTTTTTTTTCTTCTACACTATATATAAGGAACAAAATATTTGGTCAATAAAATAGATGAAATGGTCAGTAAGTTAAATAATTATAAAATTAGTAAATTAAATGATTTATAAGTAAATTACTAAAATGGTCAGTTAATTATACATTAGGTTTGTTAATAGACTTAAAAATCAATAAATAAAATTTACAAACAGACAATCAAATCAGGGGTACACATAGAAATTGAAATATATTAGTGTGATTTCAATTTTTTTTTCTTGTTTTCTTCATTTCCTTCTAACATGTAGTACAGATACTATGTACAATATACATGTATACATACTCTGCTTCTATGCTTTCCTCTGATTTAAGCCTAGAGTAAATGAGTAAAAAAGATAGACATGGTAGAAGTTGCTTAATATAAAAGTTATGTATCATACAAAAGGCTTGTGGAAGAAAATGGACATGAAAGACCTTGCTACAAAAAAAAATCAACATATTGGGCTGACAAGACCACATTTGATAATATTCATAGAGCAGAAGCATCAGTTGAAAATGAATAGTAAAAAAAATATTATATGAACTATGTAGAAAATGGGAGAACAGCTCAGATACAACAAAGCCAAACGTCGTAAATCTTAATATACAGCAATTATTTATCCACTGTATTATGCGGACAGTGAAAATAGCTATTGCTTAGAAAGCTGAAGCAGAGCATGATGATCATAAGGATAGATGAGTATAGATACGAGTATGAGTGAAATAAAGACACATTAGAATCCACATCCATATTCTATTTTATACGAAAAAAAAAGAAAATTCTGTTGATAAAATTTATATTTTTCATTGGCCAAATCTGTGTTTTTTTTCTGATCAAATTCGTGTATTTTTACTGCTAATGATGTCTATGGCAAAGTAATCATTTTGTAATGAAATATTCATAATTCAAGTACTGAGTATTTCGTGTTTATACTAATCATTTGTAATTTTTTTTTACTGAGCATCTCATCTATTTCACTGACCACTTAAATTATAACTCTACAATATGTATCATTTCGTTTTTTTGTGTAGTTTGCATGGTTGGGTATTGTTGAATTAGTTGCTCTTGCCGTTCTCATCGTTATTGGAATTATTGCAATAACTACTTTTTCAGCTGTATTACATGATATTGATATTGGAATTGTTTTAAGTGTGATTCTTCTTATTGTATCAGTTCTTACATTTATTTTTACAGTAAGTATTTGTTTTATTTATTCATTTTCATTTCATATTGATTATTTCAGACACTGACAGTTGTCTTTTCATTTGAATTGGCCAAATTAATTCAAATTCAACACAATTATCAATACATCTAAATTAAACTTATACATACTTCGAAATTATTTTTTTTATTAAAACTAAATTTTTTCTTTTTCATTTAATTAATCAAAATAATTCGTATCTATTGAATAAAATATTCTTAATCATTTAGAATAAAACAATTCAGCAATCGCTTTAATTTCAATAAACAAAAATAACAATAAATATGTGAAAATAGAGAATATGGGAAAATTCATATTCATATTATTTGTAACTTAGTGCACAACTATTTGACATTCAACTGAAACAGATTTTTATATATGTATGTCAGTATGATGATAGATTTACTTTTGCAATACGTAGCCAAAAAAATTAGCGATCTAAGGTGAGTGGTAGAAAAAGTCTTAATTGATCATTTTGTAAGAAAAGTGAAAAGATAGTTTTTGATGAGAAATAACAGTATAATGTGATAGTCATCGTAGATCATTAATTTCTCAATTTTGTTATAGACAAAGATCATTATCATATCATTTGGACAAAAATGCAAGTCTTGATAACTAGCTATAATTGTGAATCTGAGATAACATACGATGCAAAAGTAATGGTATAAAATATTGATCCATATTTCTCTTTGATGGAAGGGAATTGAAACAGAACTTTTTTTACCAAAAGATAGAGCTTCTTCTGCTCTTCCAGATTTTATATGACTTACTATTTCTACCATGCCTATAAATGAAATAATACAACAAAAATAAGTATACCTTCAAAAATATTTTGCACTTTTTTTTATAAAAAGGTAGCAGAAAATGTCGACCTTTATATTTCTTCAATAAATACGTTTCGAAAAGAAAATTTTATTACCATATCGCTAGGAAATTTTCTCCTCGTTCGAATGGTATGTAATTTGTTTTTTTCATTCGTATTCCTCAATGCAATGAAACAAGAAAGAGAGGGAAACACTCGTGCGCTAATTCTGCAATTTTTGTATGAACACGTCAAAACACTAGTGTAGACGATGATAAGTTAGCTCATTTTATACTCATTAAAAAGCCCTTGTAAGATAGCAGTTACTGACATGTTTACGAACTTTTTGAAGCTATCTTGTGGATTGGAGTTAACTATGATTAACTATCACCTAGAAGATTTCTTGACAAGTTCATGAAAAAACTCCAAATTCATTGTGAGTGTTTTCCTATTTTTCTTGTTTCATTTCATTGAGAAATTCGAGTGAAAAAATAAATTACATACCATTCGAACAAGGAGAAAATTTGGTGACCACTCATTTCGTCCTCTTACATTTCGTCCCATTGACATTTCGTCCCCTTACAATTTGTCCCAATTACAATTCATCCCAATTACATTTCGTCCCGTTACAATTCGTCTTCTTATATTTGGTCAGAATTACAATTCGTCCCGTTACATTTTGTCCCAACTAAATTTAATCTTATAGGTTTACTAGGATTAATGTATTTCGTTATTCAAAAATAGTTATTGTTTATATACGAAGTGTTGCGTATAGTGAATCATTGTGGTTGACAAAC